AAACCCTGGATAGGGTTCATTAAGTTTATAACGAAGTTTTGAACACAGAGAAGGAGTCTTCAGAGATTAGATAATGATCAGCGTGAGAGCTGACTACCAAACGGTAGAAAAATTAAAATTCTGTCAAAATTTTACTTTCCAATGGGTACTGCAAAATGTAAAATTTGTTTACACCATAGGACATTTCTTCACCCAATTCAACACAGCTTAAATACGCAAACTATTCCCTCAGTTTTCGAGATATCGATCTGAAACTTTGCACACGTTCTTTTCTTACAAAGAAGCTGCTCATTTGTCGGAACCAATGATATCAGACTACTATATGTAGTATAAAGCTGCCATGGATCAAAATCAAGTCCGTGTATGGAAAACCGAAGTTTACGTTATTTCTTGTTTAATAGAAAACCTAAAAATATTTCCCTTGCAAATTGCAAGAGTATAAAATGTTCCAATGCACACGAACTTAGTCCTTCCTTCTTGTTTAAGAATAAACATGTAATGTTTTCATAAAAAATATTGTTGCTTTATAAAATTATTGATATGTTACAGGTTCTAACAAATAGTGTTTTGTTAATATAGACTGTTAGAAAACCTCTTGAGAAACACATAAAAAATGAATTTTAACAAAACACATTTTTCTGTTAATTGAAATATTTGAAAGTATTCTTTACTCCATTGTTAATGCACAAATAAAAAACCGAAATACGAAAAAAGGGCAAACATAGTGTACAATATCTTTACGCGTTGACAGTGTGTTATGCGCGATCTATTGTTTCACAACAATATGGTACCTAGCGACACTTACAGGTTTGCGGATGCCTAACACCTTAACATCCACGCTACCCACATATACACATACACGTTATACGCATACTTTACACCAAGGAAACGCTGCCAGACGTTAATGGCGACGAGATACTTAATTTTCATTTTCCAAAAACTTATAGACTTTTTATACTCTTGCAACATGTTGCTACAGAATTAGATACAGGGTTATATATATATATAAATGATCAGGATGACGAGACGAGTTGAAATCCGGATGTCTGTCTGTCCGTCCGTCTGTACAGGCTGTCCGCAATTTGAGTAAAACATGAGATATCTTGATGAAACTTGGTACAAGTGTTCCTTGGCAAAAAAAGTGAGAACGAGTTCGTAGATGGGCCCCATAACTAAGCCGTAAATTAAGTTATAGAACTCAAATTTCAACGATTCACATTATGGAGGGGAATTTGTCGTTTGAAAATCTTTAAAAAAAGGGCGTGTCCCCGCTTCTAATAAGTTTAATATATATATCTTCCAAACCAATAAAGCTATATCAGCCATTTGTACAGGATAAATTTTTTCAACCCTACTTACGACAGTGTGGAAATAAGTTAAATCGGATAATAACCCCGCCCACTCTCCATATAACTGTTTTGTTAAAAATTACTAAAAGTGTGATAAATCAACCACTAAATGCGTCAGAGACATTCGATTTTAAATCCACGATGCCACAAGACGGCTTAATAAGTTCAGGTGTCAAAACTGAACGACGGGCGTGGCACCGCCCACTTTAATGTGAAATCCTATGGAGGAAATCGGACTACAACCACGTCCACTACCCACATAAAACCATTTTAAAATTCCATCTGAGTCTTTCAGCCCCAAATATAAAGATTTTCGAAGTTCCGGTGACTTTATACCGCTTATTTAGACCAATATGTGAGATATCTCAATAAAAATGAGAGAACGTGTTTTGGTAATAACAGTGTGTCTTTTTGCATAAAATGGATAAAATCGGTGAAAACTTTGATCTAGCCCCTATATATCTAATATCTTAATTTTAAGGTACCTTAATGAAACCCAGAATCATTTTATTTGTACGTGGCATGTTAATAGTATGTGGTATTGGCAAAACTATATATAACTCGGGTCATATAATGATTTTCATTTTCCTAACAAGTTTTATGCCAAATATGTCGTTCAGGTTGTATATTTTAAAAATTGCTTGAAAGTATGTTCTCAAGTATACCTGAGCAATGTCCAAAGTCATACAATATTGTCGCTTTCTCTGCCCCCAATATACCCCATATAATGATTTTTGTCTTTCTACCTAACATTAAATTTGTAGGTGAGTTAAAATGTAATATTTTAATGAAATTAAGTGAGCAAGTTTTCTTTAAAATGATATGGGTTAGCACAAATAGAATGGAATTGGTCTAGAATTTAAGATGTTTTTTTTAATATAATTTTTGCGGACGCGAACTAATCTTCGAATAATGGATGTTTAAACCTTTCGCAACATTTTTTAATACAAAGTTTTTCCAGCACCTGAAGACATTTTCCAGGTTTTGATTCTTGCAAGTTGCTGAGTACAAAATGTTCGGTTACACCCGAACTGAGTCTTCCTTACTTGTTTAATATTGTTCCCAAACAAAGCAAATACAAAGAAGTACATTGCTTAGCGTTTTTTCAAAAGCAAAAGTGCGAATTTAAATTAGTACCGATAAAGTGAAAGCGCATAATTTGAAAAAGTTAAGAGAAACATGTTGGACATAACGGGGCATCTTGACAGGCAATTTAAGATTGCTAAAAATCTTCATCTTTCATGCCATAGTTAGCTATGATGGTCATTTTGAAAGTTTGACAGAGCTGTTTTCATTTCCATACAAATTTTGAAGAGGCAACATGTGATGTCAGCAAAGATGAAATACCAATGCCCCGCTTTTTATGTTGCGAAATTTGCAATTTAGCAAAGCAATATTCGAAACATAAATTTTAACAAATCTGGAAAATAGTGATTATATATATATATAGGTATATACGTATATAGTTAATATTTTAATGATAATTGTTAGCATATATGAATATTATTGCTCATATTTAATTACTAAACGGGTAAATAAACAGTGCAGTATGCAACAAATATTTAAGTCTTAAAATATGAAATCTTATTTTTCTAAAAAATCCATTTGTAGATCTACTAGATTTCATTCTATACATACTTTTTTGTCATCCTCATAAAACCTATAAACGGTACAAAAGCTCGAACACACGCTATATCAGCTCGAACATACCCGACGCCATTTCGAGATTGATGATTTCATGATGGCAAATGCCCATACAAGAACATTGCAATGTACATTGCCTGTGGAGATGCGGCGTAAGTAACGGCTCTTTGTCTGCTTTGACGCTTTTCTTCTCCATTCAAATTCACTAGTCCTTAAGGTTACTTCATTGTTTTCCAAATTTTTTATTAACACGACTTAGGTTGTGGGCCAAACGGTAGAAAAATTAAAATTCTGATAGTGAAAGTGAAATTTTGACATTCATTTATTCGTAACTATGCATTTACTTGTACTTACGAGTATGTTATTATTCATCCCCTTCAGTACAGAAGTTATGCTTTTAATAAGGAAAGTTGTTGTCTTCTTCTTTTGCATTTTTATTATTTAAGTAAGAAGAAAAAATTATATTTTTGTCGTTGATTAGCAGATCAAAATGTAAACTACAACGAACCTAAGGATTGGATCAGCTGCGAGTCTCAAAGAAAGAGTATGGTCGGGTTTGTCGGGTTGCAAAGGAAATATTTAAAAAACATCTCTCATTAATTTTTACATTTTACAGGAAGATGTCATAAAGTATGCAATGAAAAAATATTTAATAAAATTGAAGTCAATAATATGATCTCTAAAATAAACTTTTAATATGAAGACATACATATGTAAGTATGTATAGTAGTGGGCTAACACGTGGCCTAAAATTCTCAATTAATATCAAATCTTCAAATTAAGTCATTTTTATAGTCACATAATATTGTAACTAGCAAAGCAAAGGTTTGCTTTTAGTTTTATTAATTTTGCGAATATATTTAATAATTTAATTATCAAGACGCAATTGCGTCATTTGTCAATTGGGACAGCATAATATAAAATTTGGTTACACCATAGGAAATTTTCACACCCCACCACTAAATGTAACTTGACCACATGTACGCCTATAGGACAGTGTCCATTCAGAACATCTACCATGGCGGCGAGATGAAAGCTCTCCTCTCTAGTAAACTCATCGGCATTGCAATTCAAGTCCTTGGTCTATTATTTATATACAAGTATTATACTATCAAATAAACAATGTTTTCCGCAAAAACTCAATTTTGAATAATAAATAAATAAACTAAACAAGTTGACTTTTCGGTTAAATACAATAATTGTTCCGTCTTATATAGAAGCAACATGTTACAGCCCTTTTGCCTTTGAATGGTTTCAAATATTGCACAAAGTGCTTGAAATTACCACTTTTAAAGAAAGTCCCATACATTCAGTGAGGACCCACTGAACAAATTTTATTCTTAAAATAAATTGACACATAATTTTAGCCCTCAGCTAGTGTCACTTTACAATATATATCAAGCATAACTTAGTATTTTGGAATACAATTTTACACTAGTAGTGGCTCTAATGCATGGCAACTTTCATCTATAAAGGGTCGTAATCGGAATATATCGAATATAATAATCTTCATGCCTATATCTGACTTAATACTGAAAATATCACTCAATATGCGGGGTATCTTAACAAAATTTATATAAGTTAATAAGATATCAAAAATCTATCTAAATATTTTAAATTCAGTCTACAAATGTCCTATTTTATTCCATTAAAATCTCGCTTTGTTTTTCAAAAGAAATTCGCATGTACTCAGAAACAATATGTCACCAAAATTCGCAGAAATCTGTTCAGTCTACCAATGAATGAAGGGTATCAAAGTTTCTCAAAATGAACTCAGTGTGATAAAGTAATTTGTCAAAGCATCTGATGAGATCGTCATATGATGGCTGGTTCTTAAAATAGGTGAAATTATAATAGAAATGTTTATAAAAGGCGTTTTATTAAAATATAACAAATTTTTTGGATATTTTACTCGCTGTTTACTTTAGTGTCACCTTATTTTTTAAAAACAAAATTGACATCACAAATATATGTATCTGTTATTTATTCATTTGTTTTGATTTTTGTGATATATAATATATAAATGAAAATAAAAATAAACGAAAGCAAGTCTTACCAAATCATTGATATTTTCAAGATTTGTGTGCTCAATTATGTATATCCAAGATCGATCTTATAACTAGGGCAACAAAACTTTTTTAAATATAAATTTAAATGTTGTTTCTGCTTTTGTGTATATTTATTATAATATTTTTTAAAAGTCTTTGAGCTCATTAGACACATAACCACGCAGGTAAAACATTGTTTTAAATACATACAATACATACCTACTTTTAATACCTACCATGCAACGCGAATCGTTGGCGGACGAAGTTTTCCAATTTTCTCGGTAAATCTTGAGTTCTCTTGCACTTAATTGCATAACAATGCAAGTGCGCAGCAAAAACGCCCACATCTTTACTCAGCTATTGTCCAAACGCGTGAAGTGCAGCCGCTTAACACGCATACACAAATAAGCATGCATTCCACGTATGTATAAGTGAAGGGATTACCAGGATTGCAAAAAAATAGCAAATGTTCTACCTGGGCAGTGCCACTTGATGTCGAGTTTTTACTTTAAAAGCCACTGCAGCCGTGCTCTAGATCATCAGTTCTTTTTTACAACTGGAGCATATCGTAAATAGACGTTCCAAATAACGTAAAGGCGAAAAATATAAATCAAAATATTTTGTTAGCCACACGTCGTAAATTCTGAATTTTGTGTTTCTACATAGAATTAACTTTATTTCTTTAAATTAAATAAAGCACTTTTTAAACGAAAATTAAAAGTTTCGGTTATAGTATCAATTTTTTGAAGCCATTGTGTAACAAAAAAATGTTTAATTAATAAAAAAAATTAATAACAATATGCATTCAAATCGTGCTTTCAACGAGAATGAAGAGAACAGGTCGCCGCTGCCAGTGCGAATTAGTCTCCATTCTATTCAGGTAGAGCCACTCGATTTGACGATGCCTAGTACGTCTAGGAACAGAAGCCCAATGATTCAACGATTTACCGCAGCAACTGTTACACCAGTTAACGCTCTTTCGCGGCCACAACGGCAGGAAACACAAACACCGACGTCGCATATACTTACAGTGATCACACCACCTAATACACCATCGATTAACATTATTTCACGTAAACGCTCACTCAATAAACTGATGGGTAACCAACCAAGTCAACAACCAAAGAAAGTGAAGCTGAGAAAAAACGTACCATCTATTACAGATGAGATCAGAAAATACATCGATGTCCGTACTATATTGGAAGATGGAGAAGAATATGTCATACTTGGTGCAAATGGCACTAAAGTCCACAAAAAGGATTTACTCCAATTAAATTGGAGCAACCCAGGGACTGCGATAACGCGCAAACTCTTGACATATGTTTTCGGTCAGGAAATATTGGCGACGCACACGTTATCTGGAAGGCCATCTCCGGCGTTTTTGGATGTGGACAAACCCGAGAAGGGTCAACTGAATCCAGTTATGATAAAGGATATCATAGAGTTCATGGTAGGCACCAAGGGAATGATGTCGCGAGAGGTGAGAACATCAGTAACGACCAAGTGTGCCGATGAATGTAAAAATCGACGTCGAAATGCACTACCTCCAGCTTCAGCTGAATCTGCAACAAATTTTACACTTGAAACTTAAGCTACAACCTTTTGAAAGCAATACGCACAAAAATTGAGGTACGCAAAAATATGGAGTCCACCATATGACTTCTTATTCGAAGAGGCAAACTACTCTCAACAAACGGAACCAATATACCCTCATTATCTTCAACTTAATATAAAAGCTCTGCTAGCCGATGAATCGAGCGTATTAGGTGAAAAGCAATGAAAGACAACATCATGAACTCGATAAAAATCACTTAGTATTTCGAATTCTGTATACGGCTAAAGTTATAAGAAAACATAATATAACATATAATTTAAGTAAGCAGCTGGTGGACTATCTTGGGCCAAAATATATTTCACAATAATTATTAGTTCTAGATTAATGTACATAATAGCGCCGTTGGGGGTAGAAAGTGTTCTATATAATATTTAAACTATATTAGCTTCAAGTATATCATCTTACGTTTTCAGTTTCTGACCACAATAAAAGTTATCTGGTCGTTACAATTATTATTTTATAAGCCAATATGATTCCTTGTACTACTTAAGATAGCCATTAGTATTATAAATAAAGTCAATTTTAACATAAAGTAAATTAAAAGAAAATATTTTCATTTTATATATTCTATATATGTATAAACGCTTCAGTATTTTTTAATAAAACGTTCCTTCAAATGAAATTTAAATAATATATTATATATTTGTATTTATTACTAATATAAACTCAAAACAATTTTATTCAAATTGTAAAATTTTGTAATTTACAATATTTAGTATTTTTGACGTAAATCTGTATGGTGTTAAGGACCATGAACCAAAAAAAACTTGTACAGCGAGATGGTTTGTCTTTGAAAAAACTTATCTGCTAAACTATTAAAAATTTTAAGTTGCATTAAAAAGTGAAAAAACCCGTTTTATGAATTTTCATAATGTAATTATTATTAATTTTTAAAAATCCAGTTTTCTCCATAAAATTAAATAATCCTAAATAACTCCTTTTTCGAAGACCAAAATAAAACTTGTACAGCTTGCATAAATTGACATTTTAACACTTTTTAAATAAAATTAATACTTTGTATGTACACCTTTGATCTCTATCATGGTTTGCAGTCTGTTATTCATAGAATGCACGGCATATTTACCGATATTGCAGAGTAACCTTACCTCATTTTTATTATCAACTTTGCCCTCTCGTAACATAGGCCAACAAGTGTTCAATGGGATTCAGTTCTGGAGTCTGGTTAAGATTGTTGTACAGCAACCATTCCTTACCCACTAAAGCAGAATGCTTGGGGTCGTTATCCTGAATTTAGCTGCTGACGGAGACAAATTATTTTTAATATTGCCAAGTAGTCCACAATTCCTTCTATGAAAACAAGGTTACCGACGCCATTTGCTTCCACTGCACACCTTTTACTGCCATTGCCCCACACAATGCATTCGCTACCATGCTTGACAGTATTATTTAAATTTTTATCTTTCAGCACTTATACTGTTTTACGTCATACAAATCGACGACCATGAGGGGATATTTTTATTTTTTATTATCAAGAAAAGACTTCCATAATGTATTTCACAGATTGACCCACATTTTCCCTTCCATCTATTTTCACACCGTTGGTAGGGGATTATAGGATTTGTCCTTAGTGAATTGCGCTCAACATTTTTAGACAAAAGGTGCCCTTGCTACTGCGGTACCAAATTACAGTTTTATATAATATCTTAATTTATTGCTTAGTTATGACAGATGGACGGACGGACAAAAAGATAGTCCCTCGGATTTCAACTCCTCTCATCATCCTGAGCATTTATACATATATACATAACTTTATATCTGACACGTTTATTTTTAGGTGATACAAACAACCGTTAGGTGAACAAAACTATTCAATGTCAATTAGTTATATGTGAGCTACGGGAAATATTGACCCGATTCAACATCGATTAATTTTGGACATATAGACATACTTGTGTCAGGAAACGATTCTCTCCTAATTTCAATTATATATGTCACATATTGACCGATAAATATTGTCCGATTTTGACAACTCTTAGACCTGAGATGGCATACTTTAAAGGCAATATTTCCTTAAAGTTAAAGTTAAAAAAATCAGATAGAATTTAAAGTTGTGTTATATTCTTATTAGACGTGGTTGCAGGCCCATTTTCACAGTGTTCACAGTTCAGAGTATGAGATTAAAATATTTCGGTAGACACACTTTTAGAGAACCTAGCGAAGTGGCTGGGAGTGATATTAATCGACTCAATAAATTTGTGGTAAGCTCAAAACGCTTCGTTGATCTATGAGGTGATGTACTTTAAAGAGTTTTTTGGGTAACACAAAGGGCACATATTTGTCCATGTGAGTATCCATTGATTTTGGATCAACCCTACGACCTAACCTGTCTTCTTATGTACCAAACACATTGTAATTTTTTTATTTAAAATATTAAGGAAAACCCCTTATTTCGATTAAAATCGGCTTTATGTTTGTTACTTGCAATACAAAATACTATATCCTCAATCGAAATAATTTGTGGTACTTTTATTGAAAATAGAATTTTTTACGATTTATTTATATGAGAAGCTTTGAACGCTCACCGACACTTTAAAAAATTAATTTTAATTTCAGGCATATTTTTTTCTCTGTATATAGGTTCATTTTAACCTATGAATTCGATAGGTTAGTTTTTGGCTCACTTTAATATCCATGAGAATCATAACAAATGAGAGTATATATTGTCTTTTACTATCTATAAAACATAAATAAACAAAAAATTGTACAAATTTTCAAACAATAAAGCACAGTTGCACTCTTAAAATAAAATAAAAGATACTTTGATTTAGAAATGAATATGGAAACTTATTAACTTTATTTGGTATTCTTTTTGAAATGTAAAATTTCATTTTCCTTGTTACAAGCAAAACAACCCTTTCCCCATTATTAGTACTTGAAACAAACCCAAATTCATTTCATTACCATTATATATTTTATACTACATACACATAATACAAGTAATTAATTATTTGTAGATATTCATAAAGTTAAATATTTAATCTACAATTTTTTTACAAATTACAACCAAGGGCTTCTATTTCATCAAGGAAGTATTTCATATCGTCTTTCGTAAGATTTGAACTTTGCAAAACTAATCGGAAGAAATTCGGTAATTGTCGTAGGGGTTGGTAGGTTATCATCATTGATCCCTTCTTGATCATACCCTCTTTGATCTTTGGTGCAACGGCATTTAGTTTTTGATTAAATAAATCGCCACGTTCCATATTTTGTATACTGGGTGGAATATACCAAAAGCTAATATTTGTGCATTCGGGCTTTTCCAGCACCAATTCAAATCCAGGTCGCTCTCTGATCAGTTCAGTGATGTATTCCGACATTTTAAACGCCTGATTGACATGTTCCGCCAGTCCATTTGTACCCTTTGCCTTCCACATAAACCAGAATTTATAGACATCCGCACGTCGTCCGCATTGTATGTGTTTATCTCCGGTGTCAAACGATGTATCATAAAATTTATCTTTTTGGAAAAGATATGTTGCATTTGTGGAATGACAATTGGTCAGTATGTCCTTATGCCGTGTGAGAAATGTTGAGCATTGCTGTGAGGCGATCAACATCTTATGTGGATTCCAGGTGACAGAGTCAGAGCTGAGGAGAATTAAAAATATTTAAGTTAAATTAAATTTCGGATAAAAAATAATAAAATTAAGTAATAAATACTAAATCTTGTTCTAACCAAAGTAAGGCAAAGGTTAAGCTTTTGGGTGTTTTGAAATTATGAAATGTTCAAGGTTTAGTGAATTGCAATATATTATACAGGTACAAATAATATCGCAAACACTGAATGACATACATAAAAAGATTGTGATCCAAAGAGCCACATGAAAATTAAGATGCATGGCTTCTTATTATGAATTAAAGTCCAAATAAGCTAATCCGTGTTATGTAAATTAAAGTTAGGTTAGGTTTTATTTAAAAATGATCTTCGCGACGTAGATCACGCGTGCACAATTGCAGACGCTCCCGAACAAATCGCCTTGAGCCCTTCACAAAGCGGTTGTAGTGACTAAATTCGTTTCCAATTACTGTTCTTAGCTACCAGGAGATTCAAGTACGAGTATGAGATGACTAGTCTGTCTTACTTGATTGTCTAAACAAAAGTGCTGTGATGATTCTACCTCTCCATCTTCTAATGTGAACAGGTAGCATGCATCCAAAGTTATCTCGAACGAATAACTTCACGGCATGTGTTCATCACTTTGACATATTGGACTATTTGGCACTCGAATATACAACTTTTTAAGTGTGGTATAACATTCTGCATAACGAATAGCAGAAATCATCGAGAATTTCATGTGGTCTAAGATCATAACTCTCTAACCAACGAACTAAGGCCAATATTTCAGGTCTCATGCATAAAACGTGACCTTAAACTTAGACTCAAATGTTCCTATTGAATGAGTTCAGACTCAGATAAATTCACTGGAGCTCAAGCCCACTTATCTTTTCAACGCAGAGAGCTTCCCTCTCTTCTGTTAGCACCAGCTGTTACTGCATTAAATATTTATATCCTGAACAGGGTATATTAAGTTTGCCACGAAGTTTGTAACACCCAGAAGGAAACATCTGAGACCCTATAAAATATATACATAAATGATCAGCATGAGCTGAGTTGATTTAGCCATGTCCGTCTGTCTGTCCGTCTGTCTGTATATATACAAACTAGTCCCTCAGTTTTATGCTATTGATCTGAAATTTTGCACCTGTCCTTTTCTAACAAAGAAGCTGCTCATTTGTCGGAACGGCAGATATCGGACCACTATAGCATATAGCTGCCATACAAACTGAACAATCGGAATCAAGTGTATGGAAAACTCTTTCATTTTACGAGGTATCTTCACGAAATTTGGCACGTATTATTACTTTAAGCATTAATCTAATCTCCGAAGAAATTGTATATATACATCGGATGACTATAGTATATAGCTGCCATATTAACTGAACGATCAAAGTAAAGTGCTTGCATGGAAAATTTTTTTATTTGAGGAGGTATCTTCACGAAATTAGGCACGAGTTATTGCTTAAAGCAACAAATTATTCTCCACAGAAATTGGTCAGATCAGATCACTATATCATATAGCTGCCATACAAATTGAACGTTCGGAATCAAGTTCTTGTAAGGGACCTTTGTATTTGTGAAGGGTATTATAGCTTCGGCGCAACCGAAGTTAACGTTTTTTCTTGTTTTAAAAAGAGTTTGCACTCCGTTTGTATTATAATATATTAAGGAGTTAAATTAATTCAATAACTAGATACATTTTCTGCTGAATGTTTTATCGGGCTAAAGGAAGGAGGGTTCAAAGTTACTTAAGGTTGTCTACACCTTGTAGCCTTCATATAACACATTTTCTTGAAACATTAAATATGGATTCATTTATCTCAAATATACAGTAATTTAGCATATTCCAGATTTAATTCGTACTAATTTAAACACAAATCTTGTAATTACCGCTCAATCCCGTTCAATAAATGACGATATTTGTTTGTAACTAGTGCACCACCACCCCAGGCTGCATCGGTGTGAAACCACATGTTGTATTTCTTACATATATCAGCTACACCGTTCAAGTCATCGAATGCACCTAAAACCGTTGTACCGGCCGTTGCAGAGACCATTAGTGGGCGCGCGCCTTTATTTATGTAGTGCTTGACTTGCATCTCAAGATCGCCAATATCCATTTTACCGTATTGATCTGTGGCAATTTTACAAACACTTTCGCTGCCGAAACCCATGAACATAGCCAACTTTTCGACGGAATAATGTGCGTCTTGTGAAGTGAAAATAATTAATTGTTGACCACCAAATAATCCATTTTTCTGTAAAGAATATATAAATGGAAAAATAAGATTAGACTATAAATGTATACTATGTATTTTTAAATTATTATTATCATCATTGATATGTTGTGTACATGTGAAAGCAAAAGTGCTTCTCCTTTAGAAAAACTGAAAAGTAATATGAGTAATTACTTATACGCACTGACGACTTTGGTACTTTACTTAACTGTAAGATTATAGGTGTTGTTGTCGGTAAAAAATTCCGGCACAAACAATGTTGAATTTACTATAATGCAAGGCCATGAATTGTTTTGAATAACTTAATGATTATACTCCACGTACGTAGATGGCACCTCACATAGATTTTTCTTAAGAGGCTTTTCAGACCTTTTTCGCTAGCGGAACGATTGGGCTTTGGTTTCTCATCATCATTAACGTGACTCCATAGCGCTTGAGCCATTTTCATACAGCGGTCCTGACGACCGAAATTAAGCATATTGGATCAAACTTCATTGACTAATTTCTCTTGATCATGACATTTGAATAAACGTAGGTTGGGTTAGACTTGGATAGCTGAGAACGCCGCTCCGGTAAAAATACCTAAAATATCCTAAGTATAGATCATAAATACCCTCATAGACGAAAAATAAGCTTTGAATCTGTCACAAATGTTTTTAGGAGGCTAATATTAATTTCAAGCTCGAGGAAAATAATTTACCTACATTATCAGATAGCTTTTGTTAAGATTTTGTACATGGGTGCTAATCTATTAATGTTCTCAAACGATGACGATTTTCCAATACCATCGTTTCCTTCTTGGCGTACGTCTAGTTTTTTATTGATTGACTGCTCAAATACCTAAATGTTTTTACGCAATTCAAATATTTCAACCACACCCCATAAGTTCTTTATAATTACGTTATCGGAATGCGATGTAACGACGGCCATTTCGATCTTCGAAAGCAAATACTAAATTCCTTTTAATAAATATATATATACATACATATTTGCAGGCAACAATTACTCATACCATTCATTGATTGACTTACACGTGCATAAGACTTGCATGCGCCACATAATTGCACAATTTAGGTTTAGGTATGTATGTACATTTGTAATCCTTTCAGAATTCTCGGAACCGTACACATGCTACCATATATATATAATATGAATGTATAATTGTATTCACATGTATACGTAGAAACCCATTCAAAAATTAATCTTGAACCATTAATGACAATAACATTGACTTTACAACACTATTGTTTCGTACATATTTACATATGTAATTGCTTTATTAGGTTAATTATCTGTTATATACACAAACATAAACGTTATACATGTGTCTATTAATTTTCTAATTGTACTTGTATATATAGCTACGTTTGTATAAAGATATATATGTATGTGGTTCTTCAAATTAGCATGCATCAATATAGTGTTCGAAACCACAAAACGAACCTTCGTACTAGACACTCTTCATTTAGTATATGTACACATATATATTAGTGGACTTTAAAACCCCAAATTATACAATTTCTTTTTTAAGGCATAACAAACGCCCACTTTTACATATACCATATTATAGATAAAATATAGAAAGAGTATGTAATTGAAATCAAATGTGTTTTAGAATTTCGAAAAAAATAAAGGAAATTTTAATATTTTTAAAATTTAAGGGTACAAATTAAAATTACATTTTTATAAAATTTCAAGGAATTGCATAAAAATTCTAATATTTCAAAAATATAATATTAGTATTTAATACCACATATACACAGGTGTACAACATAAACTTTTATTCATTTACACAATTTATTTGAATTTCCAGTTTGAACTTGTTTTTCACATCAAACTGGTATTCCTACGTAAATATGTAGCTTTTCCGATTTAAAAAATAGTCATTTAATCAGTAATTTATAATTTGTAAAACTAGTTATTAATTAAATTAAACTATGGATGAAAAATTTTAATTTTAATCTGAAAATTTAAATTAACAAAAGTTCACAACTTGAGAAAATATTCAGCTATCGTATTTTATGTACTTTAAACCACAATTGTGAGAGTTTGGAAAATTTGTGTCTAGCAGAAGTGAGATTATGAGCTCATCCATGACTTCATTGTTGTATAGATTCAAATTCGAAAGGACAAACAAAAATATAACACTGCCCTTTGACCTGTGATAACCATATCTAGCGACTATTTATTCCATACCTGTCTTTAACACTTAAAATTAGACATCTCAAACATGCCTTCCGATATGTCCTGTCTTCTCAAACGCTAATCTATCAGTTTTGAGATATCGCTCGGAAATTGTACACACTAAAGGTACTTTGACTTCAGTGGAACCGATATTAACATTTTTTAAACTAGTAGTCAAACGTTATTATCAAAATATTTGCTATAATTTTAGATTTTATTTCGAACACTATTTAAAATTACGACCCCCGAATCACACACACAAAACTGTGAACCTAAAATGAGCATATAAAGATAGCTGGATACTGACAATTTTTTGTTCCGTGATTCATCCAGAGAATTCATTTTATAAGCTATTCTACCTTTTTTTTGTGCCCTAAAAAATATGTTAAAATAAATTAAGTCGTCTTAGGCTCATAGGCGTCTCGAATAAGTTCTTCAAATGGAGATATATCGTCTCACATAATTTAAGTTGACTTCAGCTACTTTAGCATATGATCATGTATATGTGTCTTATAAAAATATATATATAACTACTAACATGTATTGAAAATCTAAAAATCGCATGAGAATTCTATTTTAAAAAGTTATATATATTTTTTCGATCTATGCTTAAAGAATGTCTTATATATGTGAGGCAAATAATTTTCAGTAAAAATTAATATATATTTTAACGCTTCGAATACATATCATACACTCATCTAATTATGCTCACATAAAACATTTTCACACTTTTACCCACCTTAGTTTCCGGTGCATATTTGTAGCGTGCACAGCTGATGCCATAACCGTTAGCAATTGAGCCACCTGGACAGAAAATGCCATCGCCATAACCATCATTTGGAAAACCGACAATGCGACGCATTTCAGCCAACACTGTCTCCTCCATAAGCGTAAAAATCGGTGCCACCTCATAAGTATACACGCTGGGATTCAATGCGTCCGTTAGCCATTGACCAATCAAAGCATAAACATCTACACCGGAATACAGTTGATTTATAAAGTACGGATGTCCGGTCTTAACCGAATACTTAATTGTTGCTTTCAATAATTCAATCAGTTTGGCATTCGTTTCCGGTTCCGCTTTCAAATTAAAATCAAATAATTGCTGTAATTCGCCCGGTGCATGCCACTCCACCACTTTACTGGCACGATTTGTGCCTGCCAGCACAGCCGATTTGATGATTTCATCCACGCAGTTGCGTATGAAACTCTCAGAGCTAACGTCAGGATGTCCGGATACGAATTGTGCAGATGGTAGCATGTCAGCCATATTATTATTATTATTGGTGGGATTGGCGTTGTTGGTATTTGTTGTGCCGTTGTTCTGTTGCGTCTTCATTGCTGACCCTTTAATATCTGCGCCGGGAATATCTAAGCTGCATGCGCTGGCATTTGTTTTAGCTGCATTCAACGTTGCGGCGCCTGCCAGTTCTTTGTCAACGCTCTGCAAATGCTTTTTAAATATAGACTCATTGTAGTGAGTGGGTAGACTATTACTGGCCAACATTTTTGCGCTTGTATTAGTTTGTTTTTGATTTTAAAATTTTTCTTATTTTGCTTATATATTCTTTGTGATTTGTTTGTTTTGTTTCTATTTTGTTTTTACTGTTAATTTCGTAACCTTCAACTATATAGTTAGTCTGCAGCCCCACACAAGGCGTATGTGGTATGTTTATTGTGGTATATTGGTTGGTGAATGGTCATGTAATGCACGGAGACCCACTGAGTTTCACGAGATTTGATGCTTTTTTCGTCGATGCAATTTAATTTGTAATAGTTTTTATTTTACTTTATACTTTGTTTATACATACATATGTACACTTTTTGCTTGAATATCACAGTCACAAATATTTATTATATATTTTCGCTAGTCACTTCTATATCAAAATTTTTTTAGTACGAAATTTCCTTTTATATATAATAATTTTCTTTTGAACAAAACTCTTTGGTTGTAAGTTTTTCAGTTTCAGATGAATAAACGCGTTGCAATTAAATTACTTCACGACGATCTTAACAACAATTCGCCACTTACCAATCTGAGTGTCCGCCAAAATGCGCTGCTGCTTTTATAAATGCTCGCACTTGCAAGATCGGTCTGATTGATCTGTGTAAACCGAACGTTGGGCTATGTAAGTGCCGTATACGTACATACGGACATGAGCACTTCGTGCATTCGTTTCGACTCTAACGTATTTGCTTGTTCCTCTGTCGCCGACGCTGCTTAATCGATGTAAGTTCGCTGTAATTACTTATTTGCTATATGTAAATGGGTATGTATGTATGTAAGCACTATGTTCGCTCACAGAGAATGTTACACCTGCACAGTTGTCGCATGCCATCTGTTGGTGGCGATGTACGTCGCCTTACATACCTATAAATGCTTCTAGGTATATGTATACATATGCATGTATGCACCTATACCATGCTTAGTTGACGAATATATGTATCTATGTGTGTATGTGATCGCGTAGTTTCGTGCCACACTTATGCACGAGTTATTAATGGTCTGTGGACTTTCCCGTATAATCAGTTTGAAATTCGCACATTTCACTAATGCAATTAATAGGCAGTAATTACTTACTCGATTAACATGATTACATATAAAATATAAAATTTTTATATATTAATATATGCAATTTTATAGTTATAATAGTTTATAACGTAAATTGTCCATATAATAAGGAAGAGTGACACAATCGGTAAATAAATAATTGAAAAACAAGATAAAACGTTAACTTCAGTTGTACCAAAGCTATAAGACCCTTCACAAATAAAAAAGTTTCCATACAAAAACTTGATTTGGATCGGTCAGTTGAATGACAGCTACATATTTTCTATAGTGGACCGACCTGAACAAGTTGTTTGGAGAATGTAGCCTTGCGTTGGACAATAATCTGTGCCAAAGAAAAAAGTTTTCCACACAATAAGTTGATTTTGATCGATTTGTATAAGGACTATATGCATAAAACATCGTTGGTTCCAACAAATTAGCGACTTCTTGGGGAGAAAAGGCCATGTGCAAAATTTTAGATCAATATCTTAAAAACTAAGGGACTAGTTCGCGTATATACAAACAGACGGACGGATCTCCGACGTTTCTTTCTGAGTGTTACAAAATTCGATGATTTTATTCCTTAAAATGGTACTTGTTTTTATATAATCGGTACAAAATTTAAATTTTCTAAACGAGCATTCTTCAGAGTATTTCGATGGGAACCTTCATCAGATAAGAATGGTGCAGATTAATAAATAAGAGCAGGGAATTTATTTAATAGGGTCATACCACATAAAAACAGATCAAAACTAAGGAAGTCCTACAAAGAAAGTAAAGATTACTCGAAAGAGAGCTAACTCTAGCTCCAAGTATTACATAATCGTATTAATATATAATATTAATACATGTATATTTATATAAATATTATTTGTGTACCTTAATTTATATTGTATATAATTCCCATTACATAACAAAAATCTCTGAGCACTCTAATCCATTTCAAAATTTAAGGACCACCCTTGGTGAATGATCATATACCAACGGTGCAGGTTTCCAATGTTTTTATACTCTCGGAACTTGTTGCTAAAGAGTATAATAGTTTTGTTCACCTAACGGTTGTTTGTATCACCTAAAACTAATCGAATTAGATATAGGGTTATGTATATATAAATGATCAGGATGAAGAGACGAGTTAAAATCCGGGTGACTGTCTGTCCGTCCGTCCGTCTGTGCAAGCTGTAACTTGAGTAAACATTGAGATATCTTTATGAAACTTGATACACATGTTTCTTAGTACTGTGAGACGGTTGGTATTGCAGATAGGCGTAATCGGACCACTGTCACGCCTACAAAACGCCATTAATTAAAAACAAATAAATTGCCATAACTAAGCTACGCCAAAGATACAAGAACAAGTTATTTGGTTAAAAAGATCACATTAGGGAGAAGCATTTGCAATTAAAATTTTTTTTAAGTGGGCGTGGTCCCGCCCCCTAGTAAGTTTAATGTGCATATCTCCTATACCACTGAAGCTATAATAACAAAACTGATAACAAATGTTTTTAGCATCTCTATCGACGGTGTGAAAATGGGTGAAATCGTGTGACAACCCCGCCCACTCCCCATATAACGGTACTGTTAAAAACTTCTAAAAGCGCGATAAATGAAGCAATAAACAAGCCAGAGACATTAAATTTTATCTCTTTGATGGTATAAGAGGTTTTTATAGGAACCACGTTCAAAATTAGATAGTGGGCGTGGCACCGCCTACTTTTAGGTGAAAACCCATATCTTGGGATCTGCTCAACCGATTTCAACCAAATTCATTACATAATATTCTTCTCATATTTGTATGTTATAGTACGAAAATAGGCGAAATCGGATTACAACCACGCCTATTTCCCATATAACATCACTTTAAATTCCATCTGATTTTTTCACTTTCCAGTATGCAAATCAAGGAACAATAATTATATCGGCGTAAAACTTTGCGTGAATAATACTTTTAAAGTATGCCACATTGTGACCAAAAATTATCTAAATTGAACCAAAATTGTTCAAGCCCCTAGGTACTGAATATGTGGACCCCAGTGCCTATAGTTGACTTTTTACCGAAAACATCGGACAACATAGAACAAGGCGGCAAGATCCACAAAGAAATCTAAAACGAGTATACCATTTGAATTATATAGATCGGAGTATAAAATGTTCGGTTACATCCGAACTTAGCCCTTCCTTACTTGTTTTACATACATATGTATATGAAGGGGTTGTGCAATGTTCATTCATTATATTATGGTCCTATTGTTTATAATTTTATTATCTAAACGTGTATTTGAATAACAATAACAAAACATAATAATAATAATACTTATTACATCATAACCAATCAGTTGCAGTTTCTTCTATGTGGTCCGATGTAACTACCAGACCATCGTCCAGTTAGTAAGTACGACGAAAGAAAATTACGCTTTTCAAAATATGTAGATTCTGCACAATGGAAGTTACACTTTCAACACAAAGCCAGGAGATATTTGCAAATCAGATTACTGTCGTTACGGTGAGAGAAACTCTGGAGCGCCTGGTTCTTGATTGCGTTACACTAAATAAAAAAACGACAGTAAAAGAGCGCGTGTATCCTTTCTGCTCCCAAGTTCAATTCTTGAATTTATTAGAGTGCTGAAGATGGATAAAACCTCAGATCGCTATGCAAATCCCTATTACCCATTCTGCAATCACCATGATCATATGCTCACGGTGTCAATTACATATTATTCTTCTTCGATGTATTGATTGTGTCCGTCGATTTTCTGCTGTTATCGAAGAATTCTTATGCAATTCTGTGTAAAAATGGATTCAAGTTATATGTTGTAGAAGTATGTTCTCAAACTCAAAAAATGCTTTAGAGATTAAAAATATCAATGGAATAATTATACCCTCACCACGTTATAGCACACGTGATCAAAGTCAAGTTCTTGTATGGAATCTTTTTTATTTATGAAGGGCATTGTAGCTGCAGTACAATCGATGTTAACATATTTTTTTTTTTTTTTTTTCTTCTGGGTTTTGATCTTTCATAGTGATAAACGTTTTTATATTTTTTTGTTTTGAGCAGCAAACACTAAAAATTTATATACAGTCAAACACAAAAGTTTAAATATACCAAAAAAATTTCACTTTTTATGCAAAAAAAGTATTTTAACGCAAATGTAAGCATGAAGTTTATTTTGAGTAAATTATTTGCTAACATTGAAACCAAAAAAACATTCAATGTAGCTTAGCTAACGGTTAATTCATCAGAAACATAAAATTACACGGGACAAAAGTTTCAATATAACCACTGAAAAATACGCATCGCATATGTTTCACAAATTATTTAGAAAAAAAGTTCCGTTATATTCGATGATTTAGCAACTTATACATTTTTATTCGGTATTAGAAGCGATTTCTTCTCCAAGAGTGGACAAAGAATAAAGAAATGGGTAAAGAAAATGAAAGTGGCGCTAAAAATTTAATAATCAAACATTTCAAGATGGAAAATATTACCGAGATATAGGGAAAATCCTTAATCTATCTTGTGCAAGTGTGCAAAATATTATTCGAAAGTATAAAACGCACAAATCCATGGAAAATAGGCCAAGGTCTGGGCGTCCAAGGAAGCTTTCTCGGCAAGATGTTAGTTTTATCATCAAAGAAGTGAAAAAAAATCCCAAAATAAGTGCTCCAAAGATAGCCGATAGCATCGCAGCAGCTTCTGGTAAAACTGTACACCCAAAAACTGTAGCAAGAGCCTTACGGGAAAATAGCTATTAAAGCAGAGTTCCACGAAAAAAACCTCTCATATTTGAGAAAAATAAGTAACTTCGTCTTGAATTTGCAAACAAATACAATGATATGGATGAATCTTTTTGGTGAACAGTCTTGTTTACTGACGAATCTAAGTTCAACCTTTTCGGAAGCGAGGGTCGTACAAAAATTTGGCGTAAAACAGGAACAGCATATCAAACCCAAATTTCATACCAACTGTAAAGCATGGTGGAGGTAGCGTCATGGTTTGGGGAGCGATGAGAGCAGCTGGCGTAGGACATCTAACGTTTCTCGATGGTATAATGAACAAATATGTTTACAAAAGTATTTTGAAACAATATATGCAGTCTTCGGTGGATTGCTTACGCCTCGTAAGTTCTTGGATATTCCAACATACCGCGGGTTTGGTGAACGAATGGCTGTTATATTATGCTCCTCGTCAACTCTATAGTCCGCCATAATCACCAGACTTGAACCCGATTGAGCATGTTTGGGAGCTATTGGCACGGAAAATTGATAATGCGTCTTCAACTAGCAAACCATCCTTGAAAGAAGCTCTGAAAAAGGCTTGGTCGAAAATAGCGCCATCGGAAACAGAAAATTTGGTTCTATCTATTCCACGCCGTCTAAAAGCACGAGGTAGACCAACAAAATACTAAATATATTTTATGTCCTATATTTTTTTTCACGATATGAAACTCTATGTAATGTATTTAAACTTTTGTCCCGTGTAATTTTATGTTTTTGATGAATTTACCGTTATCTAAGCTACATTGAAGGTTTATTTTAATTTCAATGTAAGTAAATAATTTACTATAAATAAACTTCCTACTTACATTTTTGTTAAAATAGGTTTTTTCAATAAAAAGTGAAATTTTATTGGTGTATTTAAACTTTTG